CACACCAATTTCTAATGATGTGCATGGAGGCATGGGATGTATTTGTCCTAGGCACACCTGCATGTCCATATGAGTAAGCCTCCCACCGAACAAAGTAAAGACTGTTCATGTGTGCTAAATTAAGACGGAATTCCAACAGTGTTATTGCGCAAGAGAGTATTTAATGAATGGTGAATTTGCAGAGTAATGAACGCATAAACATTAATGAGATGATGGATGAGTTAAGCATAAATACAATCAATTAGCAATGAACATTCTAATGAGGAGGGATATGAGTGTCTACATGGAATCAGATATACTAATAATAGCTTACAGGCTCTAAGGATCCATAAATTTCCTTATGAATTAACATCTTTCAGCTTAGACAGATGCTAATCCTATTCATCAGACAAGCTCAGCAATTCCATCGGACAAAACACACTGTGAATCGATCCCGCGTGAATTGATAATGTTATCGAAATGTCATCAATTTCTATGCACGAAATGATTGCTCTCGACTGCACAAAACACAATCGNCGAGTGTTATGTCATCTCCATCAGAAGCTTATTGCTAAAGATCTGAAGCAACAATTGATACCATCTCAATCAGTTTAGTGCAATCTTGTTAGGATATTTTCAAACCACACTCTGCGGCACACACCTCATTTATGCAATTTTGCTAATTCGCTCCACCGAAAATCAATTCAATTTGTCAATTCCTCGATTCACGGGTATACAATTAACATTCACATCCTGTGTGGATTTTCACGTTTTGACAAACACAAAACTTTTCACCCTCTACACTAAAGTGTTTTAATTAATAATGGAAAATTGACTTAGTGTTCCACTGAAATAAAATCATTTCTACCAAAGTTCATTGCCAATTAGTTGCACCGAATCGTTGATGAGCAGCTAAGCTTTTCGTGCGCTATTCTTTACTGTCACCGTAATGACTGCGTGAATAAATGAAGTTTCTTGTGATGTTCAAGAAACCCATCCAACAAAGTAAAAAAAATTAGCTACTTATGAAGGAAGTTTACTTTGCTGATAAAGAGTACGTTGTCTGTGCACAATTGTGATCATATCTGCAAACAGCGCTAAGAAGATCACATAATTCAGAGTCTTTATGAAAACAGAGAAGCTTTAGTGCAATTAAATGTGCATTCATTTATAGACATCAATAAGGTAGGTACATTTGGTATATTTGCTTAGAACATTTTAATAGATTATGCGAATGTCTCCCCCAGCAATCACCGGAAACGTACAGATTCGAGTGTTTATCTTCGTTCGGTTGGTGTCAATCAAATAATGATAACTGTTGACTCGTTCGGTTTCTTCAAAGCCAATAAACATCGAATACATCGTCAAACAACAAATGTGCAAACCGCTAATTGGTCATGTGAATGAAGAAGATAAAATCACATTGCTACTCTTTCAATGCCGATCTTTATTTTGACGTTATCGTTTCACTGAAGCGGTCATATCTTTTACAAAGCACTCTCATATCACATATCACTAACCCCAATCAGAAACTCATTCAACTAACCGCTGTGACCACTTCACCTTTCGTCATAATTCAATGTAAACATTACTTCAAATTTCAAATCACATCATACAAAGGTCAAACAAATTAACATTGCTCATTTATTGATCTAATCAACCGTTTATGCACAGAAACGTTTGTTTTATTTCATCAGTGGTCATCACTATGCTTGTTTCGGTTTTTGATTACATGTTTGAATTGGTTGCGTGCATCAGTTTCATTTAGAAACTTCACGAACGAATTTAGAGATTACACCATAGTGTCATAATCTCAGTTCCTAATCATGCTATCAACTAACCAAATGCAATTGGCTCTTTTTATGTGAAATGATCTGAAACGTGTATCGTCTTTGGTCCGTTTTCTGGTTGTTTTTCGTTTGCCTTTCAAATATGACAGTAAGCGTTCATCACCGTTCTTAAAATCTTGAAATCAATAGTAAGAAAAAATCAGTGATTGAATTCATTCGGAACCATTTTCATTCGCAACAAATTCTCTTTTATCCTTATAAAAATTATCCATTGTTTAGGTATGGTGTTGCGTTTTTGTTTCGGTTCGAATAACTTAAACAAGTTTTCTCCATCGATAAATTTTTTCAAAGTGAACGATTCAGTCAGCATGTGCAAAACAAATGTCGTTTGCAATGTCACAAAATATCCGCACTAAGAACATTATTGTCGATAATATTTCATCGACATATTCTTATCACGTAACGAATCACTAATTACTATTCATCGTCAACTTAAAAGGTGCCCTATTCCCTGGGGTAATATCGGCGGCATCCGTTCATAATTGTACGAAGAAGACGTTTCGTTCGGTTCGTTCAAAGTGTTCACTCGTCACAAGCTGACAGCAGTGTTGAGCCATTGAACGCAAACAGCAATTATCTCATCTTCTTCATTCAGTCTCTCCAAAATAGATTCCATTAACCGGATATACGTACAGCACAAACAAATATACAACCGTAAATAAAGGAATATATTCATTTGAAGGTCTACAATTATTAATCATCAAATATTATTTTTGAATGCCGACTTCTGTCATTGTTGAGGAATTTAGATGGGAAGAGCTTGAAGTGTGCTACTCGATCAATCGGGGCATACTAGATCACATGATTTATTATCCACAATACCATGTCAACACTCCAACAATTCGCATAACCAGCACATTAACGAATCACCCGCCAATTCATAATTTTAATACTTAAACTGTATAGATCAGTTACTGCACTGATTAGAATAAAATTCTGCGATTTTCCACGAATATATTAATTTTTATGAAGCGCCATTCGCAAGCTGGAGATGAACACTGAAAATGGACAAATTGCTATCATTGACACAATGAAACTAGACGAAGTCTCCAGTTCGCATACTGCACTTATTACCAAAAAATCCCCGTTTTCGCAACACGTTGAGTTGAAAAGATGAGGCACTAAAATGTTGATGCAATGAAACCTGTGAATATTGGTATGTTAACTGCGTGGTTACGTATGCCTAACCGTTTACATTATGATATATGTGCATTTAATGCGAATGAATTGATACGAATACAAGTTTTGAGATGATCGTTAAACACCTCATTATTAGAATTAATTATCACTATTCTCGATAATGTTCCCATCGTTCAGGAAAGTAAATGTTATCTAGTGCGATATGTTACGCAATGTGCTTCATTGCAGACATCATCGAATAGATATGAATGCATGATTTATGAGTTTTCATTCATAACATGACCTTTATTGCTTTTACGGTTCATGATACGAATACTTCTAATTATGTGTATGATTTGGAGACAATTACTTTTAACAGTAACTAAACGAGTCAAATTTTTTTCCATCATGGAATGTAGTTCAAACTACGATTATGGCTGAATAGTGTGAGGCTTCCGAGTCTAAGATAGACATATTTTCAAACAAAATTTTATAAATCCTTTCTCACTGTGCGGAGAAAATTTTTCAACAATAATTTAAAGATACACTCGACGGATAGTAGCATTAGTTGCTTTCTTCTCGCTATCGGTCGGTTGGGATTTTCGAAACTGTGACACCTATCCAGTAATATTCTGCACTGTTCAGCTTCATTTCTGTTCCATTGGATTTAGTGTAAATTTTTAAAAAAATAATTGTGATGCAAATGCAAATAATTTTGATGCAAAAAATAAGTGTGCAGTACAAAAAGATACTTATCACAGCACTTTACACTTGTGAAATCTTTTGATTATTGTTGCGCAAAAACATATTTTATTAACACTTCTTGCTGCATCATCAATGCTCACTGAAATGAGTTACGTAATGATCAATTATTGCTGCTCAACAAATGTCCTCAACAAATAATAAATAAGTGTATTGTTCCAATAGACAATATTTAAGCGGTTCACCTCACTTAGATTTAAACGAACTCAGGTCAATGCTATGCAAATACAATTCTTAATGATAATGGAACAGTGCAAACAATACGAAATCACATAAAACCTCTTAGAGAATTTGTCAAGTGACTACTCATAAACTCAATTTATGAGCATTTCGAATAGTTTATCGATTATTGATTTTTGAAGTTATTCGAAACTGAGGCCTTGTTTAGTTGTGCCAGTTCAGCTGTCAGTCAACGCTGAGAATTGTTTGCGTAATTTCAATGTGTGGAAACTAGAAGGAGAAACAAGTTTTGAGAGAGGTGAAGTGATGATGGCAGTGTGTGAAACTGGAATTATTTCATGACTGAATTTGAATATGTTGCTCTGAGAGTGATAGTAATACTGAAATATGTTCCTAAGAGTGATACTAATACTGATATGCCTGTAAGTGATAAAAATCATTCGCTAATACAACTTCCGAAACATTTCCGTGTTGAATAAAAACGTTGACGTGTTTTGGTTGACAGAGAATGAACGAATACAACGTTCAGTTGTTATTTTTATCCTCCAAATTTGCGTTAATCCCTAAAGTTTCATGGAATTTGCAATCCAACTATTGAGTTGAGAATCTTTATTGAAAATTTCCACTAAAATGTGCATTATATATTTCAATGATCACAACAAGCAAAATATGCATCCATATAAAACACGAAGTAGCAGAACATCAACATCAATTGTTATAACTGAGAGAAATATGAAGTGTTCGCGGGTGATAATCACCCTTACATATATATCACAGAATCACTGCATCAATCTAAAACTATATACTGTACAATAAAACATTCAAAGTGTTCATAATATTTGCATACACAATTCTTTTAAACGTTGATGCTTGCACTATCCGCTAACAACTCTGGAACAAACTGAACTATCTCATCATTAAGAGTAATTTTCAGCTTATGCGCTTTTTCGCCTCTAGTCGAACATCACATCTCCGTCGCGGTTTTTTCATTCGTTCCATCTGATCGCAAGCTGACATAGAAACTTGACAGAACTGCTATATTCCATAGCCCTTTACAGAATCCTATATATGTAATCATCAGGTTTCGTCGATTTATCGGAACGGGCACATTCAAGCGTGTTGCTTCTGCGACATCAGATTGAAACTTGTTGAGAAATTCGCGAAAATTTGGCTCAATTCAGAGACATCAGCCGGAGGAGCTCGATTCTCTGATTCCATATCATCTTCTTCTAGTTGACGCTGCAATTATTGACTTGAATTGGGAAAATAATTGATTAGTTAGCAAAGAATGATGCAATGATCCTCTAATTTGTTGATGAGGCTAGAAGCTGAATTTGACCGTACAAATTATTCTGCTTTCAATTACCACTCAGCCAAAACCTCTCAGGATCAAATTAATGGAAGCCTAACAGCTTATTGAAGTGGAATATGTCGGCAGATTTTGGTGTTTTCACTAATAATAGAAATATTTCAGTGAAATTACGTGAGATACTAACAATAAATGCAGCCGAGTCAAATTCCATATTTTTGATATAAAATGTTTGCGAAATTTTCGAATGAAAAGAAACCATTTCACAAAACTTCTTATAAAATTGTGACGATTTTGAATTAACAGATGTAAAAGTGGAATAAATGCAAATAAATGTTACCTGTAGTGCACTAATATACTCCATTACATGTATAAGTAATTCCAACGGTGAATCGTTCGCTTTAGCCGTTGGTACCATCTTCTGTAGTTTTGCCATCGTTTTTCGACGTTCAACTCTCTCTCGAGCAGCTTTATTCACTTTGCTTTTGCGCATGGTTCGGTGGAATCCAGAATCCATTTCCACAAAGTGACGAGTTTCTGATGGCGGAGGAGTTGATCTCATTTCCTGTGAAGATGTCAACTTCGAAGGGCGAAAATATCCAAAGAAATTATCAGCAAGGGATGTGTGAAATGAGGATGATGCTCTCACGGATACGAAACGAAACTGGGAGTAAACAGGATAGTTGTGTTGAATATTGATGCTTTGTGGTTTTGAATGGGCGGTATGTGAGCTGGGAGATTGAATGTATGATGGGGTATTTGTATGAATGTAGACGATTTCAAGGTGTATTCGATGAGGCAAATGGCACGCCTCCACTTATAGGGTGTCATTCAGCACACAGCTGTGCGTTATGATGATGGAAAGGTGATTGCTGTGTATGGATAGTGATGCGCTGGAATGGAGCACACCTGTGGACAATGATGTGAGACTCTGGGAAATGCAATGATTATGATCATCATCCCTAAGCAGCATTTATTCGTGTTGATCGCATCACGATAAAAGCCGATTAATGAAATGAACGATGAGAAATTTCAATGGATAGAGCACGTGCATTGCAATAAACGGATATGAACACTTGTAAATATATGCGTCGATGGTTTATTCTTATCTTTATCATGCACCGTTTGAAGTGTACGATGTTTTGAATTGCATTCTGACATCATGGGAAAATTCATTTTCGACTACTAACAAGGACAAAAATGTTAACATATGAAACTGTTCAAAATCATTTCACGAGAATTTCTTGCATTCATCTCTCATACGTAAATTTGCAGCCTTCACAATATTTCAAATTTGCATCCCTCTCTTTTTAATAACGAAACCAATTTCTTACGCATTACAACACCACAATAAGAGTGAGTGATTAAACTTATTCATAAAAATTTTTAGGGGTCATATATAAATTTAATATCGCATGGAACAATTAGGATATGGCACTCTGTAAGCCGCTCCTTAAAATTCTCGGATAATTTTATGGAGATATTAACAACAAAATATTGCAGTATCAACATTAGTGACGGTTGTTCAGGAATGACAACGATTGCTTTCACGAAAGTCACTGACATCTGATGGAGGTGATACGATGACTGTTTGGGGTCATAATTTTGAGTTTGGGGTCATAATTTTGAGTCTGAGATGTCTGAAACTTTCATGAACTTTCATATACTATTAGATTATATAGTCAGTGGGGGTACTAATGAAAAAATGATGCGTTCAGCTGAAGTAAGTGATTCGATTTGAAAGCGAGAATCAAATAGCGAGATGTAAAATTTCCACAATCCTTCCGGACATATTTTAAATGTGGACTTGTAATCATTCATTTATTTCAATCGAAAAGGTTATGTCTACGGTAGTGAACAGCAGGTGTAAAGGATCATATGAGAAGAACCCTTTCGGAGATTAAAACCGACGAAAGCGTAATGTAATGATGCTGTTGATGAAGATGTCGATATTTGGTATTTAGACGATTCACATATGGACATAACATTTGTGCTAATAGGCATCTGCTCATAGCTTTTCCTGCTTAGCAGATGAATCTGGCCGCTGGCAGATGATAAGCAGGCGTGCTGTTACGACTCGCTACTAATCATAGAACAACGAAACATGCTTGACAGATCTTCTTACATATGCCAGAATCAGCCACCACGCAGAGATAAGTTAAATGACACAGTTCATTTCGCGATGTCGATCCTCGGATGAAATTTTCATTGACTACTATTTAAGGCTTGGATCGGGGGAGGAGGAGGAGGACCACATAGCTCGTTGAATGGAACTGTAAAGCTCCTCATGCGAAAACATCGAACTCAGGAGAAGTCGGTCTAGCGAGTCGATTGGAATGATCAAATCAATTCGCTATGAGGATACCACTCGCTGATCAATTTCTGTTCACTTTCATCGCTTTTGACTTTCTGATCACCTTTCATTATTGTCGTCCTGTTACAGTTTTTTTTTCTTTTTGCACAATGTCGTAAATTCCCAGTTCACTACGATCGATAATTCCAAGACGAACACCAGCAACATTAGAAACTATGCAAATTCACGATTTTCGAAAGGTGCGTAATTCTTTTCGGTTCAGTCAGCATAAAATCACGAATCAAAGGAATTATTACCAATTTCACTGCGTGGAGAGAGAAATTCATTTCTCGTTTCGAAGTGCTCTTCTCGTAAAAATTGAAAACTCTTGTAAATCAGTTGTTGAATTCTTTTCGACTATTCATCTCACGGAACATATCTTATGCCACGACAGATTTTTGCGCACTGATAAGTTTTCTCCTGAAGGGCAGGCAGCAATGTGCGATTGATTCATTTGTCGATTCAGTTTCCTCCTTGCGGTAGGCTCCTCATGTCATAAAAAAGCTGCTTTATCTGACTTTCGTCGTTCTTCATATTCACGGATAAGTTTGATGCCGTTGCAGTGCAATGTCAATCCAGAGTTTTGTTTCATATAGTGAAAAAAGTCGAGGAAATCAAATGCCTGCAAGTCTAATTCCGTTGTAATAATTGCTTGACACAGTAGTTGGTTTGTCGACCAGGTAAGCTGAAGCTGTTAGATATGAATTGGATGGTTAAAGCAGGTTGCTTAGTTCAAGCAAGAAACAAATCGCACCTGGTTGCAAACACAAACTGCAGCTGGTGGTATCGAGCCTAGCTAATATCGAAATCCGTGATCACAGCTTCAGACACCTGTCCCCTCTTACTGGATTTGCCATAACAATCGTAATAATAATGATCGTAATAATAGCTTATGCTGACTACCTAAAGCAGCAACTGTTTTAATGCCTTATTAAGCATATTGCAACAATCTGCTGTACCGATCAGCAAAATATCAACTGAGTTTCGTTTAGTGATTACCTTAGGCTAGCATTTAAAGATAAGAATAAATGGGCTATAATCACTTCAACAGTACATCTTCGGGTGTTGATTTCACTCGATTCTTTTCATTTGTTGCATTCGACAGATGATGCCGCACTTCAGAATAATTTCGAAAAGGTAAACGCCCTATCAATGAGTTCTATTTGCGGTCGTCTAAATTATAGTGTATGAATGACTACTGTCGGTAAATCAGGCGCAACACTGACTAATTATTGTGTTTGACAACACTCAAAAGGTGTTAAAGGCCAAATATCGCCTATAATCCATACACGGATTTCCGCAGATCGTTCGCATTATAATGGAGGAATGATCGTACCAAATTACAGACTTTGTAATCGTACTATAATCCACAATAGATAAATAAACCACTGTGACCTTTCAATAAAGCTTTGAGTTATACCGCACATTAATTCACTGCTTTTGATGTGCATAGTTATTATGTGCTAATTATTAAATGTACTTTATTCCATGACACTCATTCAAAGCAACCACACTGCAGGGGAGACGATTTAGGAACCTTCTTTATGCGTTCGGTCGATGAATGCGATGCCCTAAAACATTGCTGTAGTCCGGAATGACACTTCTTTGCTGAAGCATTGATACGATGATGTTGAGAGAATGTCACAATGTAACTATACGAGTAGATCGTTTTTAAAATTTTTTACCAAATTGTTTTTTGCTTTTAACTTGAACTTCCCTCATTTCATGACTCGACGTTATTGCTCAAAATGATGCGCCGTTTCGAGAAAAGTATTCTCACAATACACTTCCTCACATTAGTCACTTCTTTCTCATCGCATCAATACATGATGATACTTGAACACATCCATAAAAAGCCCTCAAAGATGTCCTCATTCACAGAACTGATCAAATGTCATTTGTATGCATCGGCCACGATAACAACAGGAACAACCTTAATTCAAAGTTACTTTCCCACGGTATCATGATTGTATTTAACAACTATGAGATCGATGATACCATCAAGCATTCACTGATCCGTTTCTCAAGTATTTGTTTGTGCATAACCACCATTCAAATGGTATATATCACATCAAGCGACAGCTGCCTTCCCAGTCAAAAAGGTGCAATTAAATGTGAGATGAACACGCTATGGGAACGCGATTCGAAACATTTCTTCACATTACCCATTATTTGAAATATTTGCACTTAAATATGGTCTATAGATTAATATGTTTGTTTAAATGGTTAAGAGCTTCACAGCACTCGAATGCTTTCTATTTTTCGATATTAAGCGTGTAAATTCACTTGCTTAAGAATGATGCAATGACTCACTGTAAAATTTCAATTCAGTGGATCATCACATCTTTGCAGCGGGTGTAGACGAAATGTTCAGGTAAAACAAGATTTTGAT